GGAGACCTATACCGTGTCTTTAACTCCTGAAAAAATTGATAAAATTAGATCACTTGCAAATGATATTCTTCTTGCACCTAAATTGACCATTCGTAAAATTGCTTCATTTATTGGGCTGTGTTCCTTTACAAGGACAGCTGTTTTAGTCGCGCCACTATTTATTCATTTCCTGGATAGACAAAAGAATGTGGCTTTAGCGTGCAGTAATTTTGATTATGATGCAGCTATATCTTTGAATGAAGAGATGAGATCGGAATTGCTCTGGTGGTATAATAGTGTCAAGTCTTTTAATGGGTTTTTTATTCAACCACCCAAAATTGCCATAACAATGAAAACCGACGCATCCCTTACTGGTTGGGGTGTAGTGTTAGGAAACTCTCAGGCTAATGGCCTTTGGAATCTTTCTGAATCAAAGCAGCATATTAATGCACTGGAGCTATTGGCAATTTTGTATGGCTTACAGTGTTTTTCCTCAATTATTGAATGGAAGCACGTTTCAATTTTGTCCGATAGTATGGTTGCTGTCTCATATATAAATAATGTAGGGGGATCAAGTGATCCATTATTTACCATTACTAAAGAAATATGGTTGTGGTGTTATAAGAGAAGCATTTTTTTGTCAGCTAAACATTTACCAGGCAAAGAGAATCAGACAGCTGATAGATTGTCTCGAGTTTTTTCTAACTCAACTGAGTGGAAACTTAACGAATATATATTTAATAAAGTTTGTAATAGATTTTTTCTGCCAGACGTGGATCTTTTTGCATCCAGAATAAATGCACAGATGGATTGCTATGTTTCCTGGGACCCTGACCCTTTTGCAGTTGCTTTTGATGCTTTTTCAATTTCATGGTCTAATTATCATCCCTATATGTTTCCACCTTTCAGTATTTTACCAAAAGTGCTTTCCAAGATGAAGGAAGATTGTGTCTTGATGGGTATATTAATAGTTCCAGCTTGGCCGTCCCAGGTATGGTTCCCTACTTTACTTTCCATGTTGATCGCCGAACCAGTGCTTCTACCTCTCAGGAAAGATCTCCTTCGTTTAGCACACAACAATTGCCTTCATCCTTTAAGGGGCAAACACATGTTCCTAACCGCTTGCCTTGTATCAGGCAATATCTCTCTAACCAAGGACTTTCAGACAAGTCTAGAGACCTCATTATTGGATCTTGGCGAGCAGGTACCAATAAACAATATGATCTTGCCTGGAAACGATGGTGTTTTTGGAGTATTCAGAGGAAAATTGATCCGTTGGATCCATCTGTAATTGATGTTATCAATTATTTGAGTTTTTTATCAGACCATCGTTCCTACAGTGTGGTCAATATTCATAGATCTGCGATATCACAGACTTTGCAAATTTTAGGCAAAATTACTCTGAAAAATGAGCCACTAGTCTCAAGATTCATGAAAGGATTGTATGACAAAAATCCGCCTAAACCCAAGTACACTTTTACTTGGGATGTTTCAGTTTTATTGAAATATTTAAGTTCTTTGTTTCCTTTGGAGGATTTACCTCTGAGACTATTAACATATAAAACAGTGGCCTTATTAGCTCTCGCTTCAGCCCATAGATGTCAGACTCTTACGGCTCTCACTATTAATGGTCTGATTGATAGTGGTTTCTGTATAACTTTGATCACAGATAAGGTCCTTAAAACAACCAAGGCCTCCAATCCATTAAAATTAATTAAAATTAAAAGTTTCAAAAACACAAAAATTTGTCCATGTTTTACTCTAAGACAATATTTGAAGTCCACTAAAAGCAGAAGAAAGTCTAAGCAACTCTTTGTGTCTTATGTAACTTTTAACTGTATTTCTGCTTCTACCATAAGCAGGTGGATTAAAGAAACTATGGCCCTTGCTGGAATTAATACTTCTGTTTTTTCTGCCCATTCTATGAGAGGAGCTTCGACTTCTAAAGCTTATTTGTCGGGCTGTCCAATTTCAGAATTGCTAGAGACTGCCAGCTGGAAGAATGAGCAGACGTTTTTTAAATATTATAAGAGGGAAGAGGTTACAGAAGCAAGTACAGTGTTTCAAGATTATGTTTTCACTGATAAATGATTTACAGTATTAAAATTATTTAACTACGTTAAGTGTTAAGTGTTGTTTAATGTTACTAAGTGACCAACCCTTTAAATATGCAATCATAAATCGGAGAAGCCCGAAGGGCTATAGTGGAATATAATTCCACTCTCATCCGAGCGCCCGAAGGCCGCGAAGGATGAGAAGAATTATATGAATATATAGCCCGAAGGCTCGAGGATTTATCTTCCCTCCCTCTGTCCTCCCTTGGCTATATTATTCATTTGGTTGTCCACTTATGGTTACACTTTACTTTAAAAAGACATTGATGATGGATAGATTACTGTTTATATACCCTGATCTGGGGACACGTGATGGTTATATACACACGCACGTGTGAGTTTTGTTTACTTTAAACGTTGAATTTAGTGCATATTCTAGTGACGTCACAAGAAACATGCAATCATAAATCCTCGAGCCCTCGGGCTATATATTCATATAATTCTTCTCATCCTTCGCGCCCTTCGGGCGCTCGGATGAGAGTGGAAATATTAACATGTACATAGAATTATATCAATATGACAAATAATATATAGTATGTCATGATTGGTTTCCTTTAGTTATTAGATAGTTTAAGCTATTCTGTAGTATCGGGTATTATAAAATGTCGGTAAAATACGCGTACCCGGTATTTCCGTGAATGACGTCTTGCTGACCAACACGTGAACAATTTCGAGGCGGGTGATACACATAATCCGTTTCCAGTTACTTGATAATGATAGTAGGCAGGACAGTGATTGGTATTATGAAGTGTGTGATTTGCTGCGCGACATTCCGCCCATGGCTAGCTATATGTCTCCCGTGCATGATGAACAAGCCCAATGTGAACACGATAGCCCTGTGTCTGCAGTAGATTCTGACAATAATTCTGATGTTGATAATAATGTTGGCTTGCTGGATCGTAAAAGACGTAGGCAATTCCTGAGTCCCGAACGTGTAGATCTATTGACTGACTATATTGATAATGATATGGGACTTGGGGATGAAAGTGAAAGTAAAAACAAGGTATTGCAATCCGCAGGTGGTCATGGCAGCGGGAGACGTGATGCGCGTGTTCGTGCTGGCATTGCTCATGGCTGCTATTGATATTTTTGTTCATTTTATATATCTTTATGAAAATCCAGTGAAAAAAACAATATCTCATAAGTATTTCATGGAGAAAAATTCGTTTTCGTGTTAGCTTTAGTGAGAAATGAGAAATCCAAAATGGCCGCCATGACGTCACGTGTATACATTATTATGCAAATTTCCAAAATTCTATTTTTTCCTCTTAGCCCAACCTTATGCCCATCCCAACAGACAAAAAGATTTTTCATAAAAGCTTCCATAAGTACTGTTTGGCATTCAGTTCCAACTCCCCTTTTTTCCTCAAAAAAGGATCTAGCACAGGCAGTGGATTTACGTCTAGCATTGAAAGGGTTAAGCCCACACAGTATAGGCGACTGACACAGGTTTCAGTTAGTATTAGTTGTTTGACTGTAAGTGGGCATATACCTTGGCCCTCTTTTAGCTGGCGTAACACTTATCTCTTTAGTTCTCAGATTTGTTATTGTATTGTGTATGTAGTGACTTTAGCCAGTAAGCTTAGGTACATGTATGTCAATCAATGTTCATTATTTGTCATAATATTTTCAGCTATCATGCAGATGGTATCTTTAGGTTTGGGCACGACATCACAATTTGTGATGTGTTTGGCCATTTATTTGTTAAATCTTAAGCCCAACCCACAGTTTTAAGACTGAAATATGATGTTATTTTGTATTATTAGTGTTTATACATGTAGTATTCTTTGTTAAAGATTTGTATTCATTGATAATGCATATTTCAGTTGATTAGTCATTATTAAATGACATTGTACACCATCCGTTCTTTTGTTAGTTTGTTTTTCGCTCGGTTATTGGGGGATGGGGTTAGTTTGAATGGAGACACAAATAAACATTGTCAATAATGATTTTTGTGTTACAGTCCTCGTCCAGGTTTGTTACTCTTGATATAGTCCTCGTCTATTTCATATATATTCCTGAGTATGTAAATGAGCTGGGTTTCCGCGTTGTTTTTTCCCGCTCTTTTCATCACAACAGAATTAGCAGTGCCACAGACAGGACGTTTGTGTTTTTATCCACGATATTTCCGTTGATAACCCTCCACCTCCCCTGCTCCACCTTGCACTTAATTTTCATAGTACAATTTGTTTAATATGGCTTTTGGCCTGTTTAATGTGCCATTTATTTGTAATATGATTTTATTTTGTATCATTATTATTAGTGTTTATACATGTAGTATTCTTTGTTAAAAAACTTGTAATTATTGGCCATTTATTTGTTAAATCTTAAGCCCAACCCACAGTTTTAAGACTGAAATATGATGTTATTTTGTATTATTAGTGTTTATACATGTAGTATTCTTTGTTAAAGATTTGTATTCATTGATAATGCATATTTCAGTTGATTAGTCATTAATAAATGACATTGTACACCATCCGTTCTTTTGTTAGTTTGTTCTTCACTCGGTTATTGTGGGATGAGTTTAGTTTGAATGGAGACACAAATGCTCATTATCAAACTCAGTCAAGGTTGTAATGAAACTATACACCACGTTTCATCACTCTCACTTGATAAGAATCAAAGTTCTTGCGTCCCAACCCATCGACTAATTCTGTTTAGCCCAAGTGGAAAATGCCCACCATAGAACTTATCCAAGGCTGTCAACTAATATACACCTACACCAAGTTACTGTCTCCCAAAGCGTGATAGATGGATGGACAAACAAACTGATGGATGGACGACAACCCAGTTTAACAGTCCTCTGAATGACTCAAGGGACAATAATTACAGAACAAGACATACATAAGGTTAGTAATATTATTATTAGGTAGTATATAGAATATAACTATATATATGCTGTCTGACCTGCCATCCACGTTGATATTTGTAGATAACACTTACTGCCCATTTCACTCTTTTCTCATGTTTTAATCTGGCTAGAAGTCGTCTGGCCTACATGGACAAACATTAAACATAATATACATGTATTACATCCTAACCATGCAATAATAGTTTGAATATTGAGGTAAAAGAATTTAATATAGATGATTAGTTGTTTTATTTTATAATTCACTTGTTAATTACAGCAAATACTATAATTATGCCCCATTGAATATATTACAAACACTAGAATGGATTAAGTCATCAAGATTTACACTTATAAGGAAAGGATGTGTGTGAAATAAAACTAATCAAATATTAAAATGCCTAACATATATAGTGTATGCAAATTGGGTTTAAATTATGAACAGGAATAACATAGACTTCTAATATAAAGTTGCGGAACGCAAAAAATCAACAGGATTCATCCACTCATGACCCCAATGCTTCCCACCAAATTTAAAAAATATTTGTTAAGAAGGTTTTTGACAAAGGGGAGATAACTCCGGAACAGAAAGTCAGGGAAAGCTGAAAATTGACAGGGTTCATTCTCTAATGACATCAATGCTTTCAAACAAATTTAAAAAGAATTTGTCGAAAACTGTAACATATATGATGTTCACAAGGTTTTCAACAAGGGGGGATAACTCTGAAATAAAATGTCACAGAATGATGAAAAACAATAGGGATTGATCAAATTCTTTACACTAAATTTAAAAAGAAATCTGTTGAAAACTGTAGCTTATATCGCATTCACAAGCCAATTGCATATCAATGGACAGGGTGACAACATTTCAGTGGGGGTGTATAAAAATGAAAATATTGAAAATTTTAGTCAAATTACTTTATTCTATGAGAAGTTATGAGTGTTTTAAGTTTTGACAAAATGTAGCGTTGATTGTTCATTATCATAGCAACAGAACTTGACTAAGTCTCGATTATCTATTTTATCAGTAAATTCTTGAATGGCCGCTGTGTTCTAATCTACTTAAGATCAGAGCCAGCCAATAGCCCAGAGATTTGATTATATAGGCTTGCCATGTTACTAAAGGTTTAAATAATAATTTATATAACATTTGAAGCCAGAAAATATAATGCATCTTTAACCCCGAAAATATTGTAACCAATTGATGTTACCTATCCTAATTACAAAGAGTTGATTAACATATATACCCACCTAGTTACTTTAGTAATGATGTTTGATCAGACATCATTCTCATCTTTACTACCTGTCTCTATACACATGTAAAATGAAAATAACACTTTACACCATCTCGGTTCTTAGGCTATTTTGGAATCCTTACCGTCTATTTTTCACTGTGATTCTTTTTGTTCGCCAAAAAGAATAATTTATAGACACATGTGACACAAATTTATAATAATTCAACACTATTTTCAAGTAGAATTTTGCGATTAAAAATACCCCAAATACGTTGGAAATGGTCTGCTATGAGGAGCCAATATTCAAAATTTAGGAATGGAATTTTACCATAAATGAAAATAAATGTTATTTTCATATTACATGTGTATAGGAACAGGCAGAAACAATAAGAGAATATTCAGAAAAAGACAGATTTAAGAATACAGTACTCTCACTAAATGTCCAATTTAAGGTGTTTTAAAATGTTTTATTGCTATTTTGGTCGATAGATAGTATATTTAACCTATTTTTGACGAGTGCGAATCAGTTCGCACCTGTCATCTGGCCATAGCGAATCAACTCACGAACCCATCACACTTGACAACGGCATTAGTGAACAAAAGCGCCAGATCAATCAACTATTGTTTTTATGTCTTAAATCAATGGTGATTGAGTAATAAAAATAAAACACCAAATGAAAAGGAATGTTATATTCGCTAATTATCTAATAAAAAACATACGTTTCAACAAAGGATCTTCCGGTATTTACATAATAGGTCAGAGGTGAAAATTCACACCGTGTCAATGACTTTGGCATTATTCCAATATTTTCACGTTGTCACTTACGACTGATAATTTTATGATTTGGAGAGTGAAATGGAATCAGAGATTTTTTATGATTTACTGCATATCGTGGAATATGATAATGTCGAAGAAATCAACTATTTATATATTTTTTTGACGTTATGATGCAAAGAATAAGTAAACTCCAGCTGGGATGAAATGTGTCAGCACGCTTCCTGACAGACGATACCACAAAACTTACGGATAATAATTCTAGACTTTGGAAACCTAAATCGAATCAAAACTTTTTGGGTTTGATACATGCTACATAGAGGAATATTATACTGTCAAAGATTTCCAATGAAGCAAGGAAGACGACAAGTCAAACCATATATCCAAACGAAGGCAGAAATGTCAAATGCCGGTAGCGATGAAGTGACGGTCGTTTGGTGCGGTATTTCTTTTTAAAAGTTATATTTACTTTGAACACTGCTTCCAACGTGAGGGACTATATTTGCACTCTCTTTTAAAAAAAAAAAACAGCGGCTGCCAGGCAGGATACGCCCACATTTTGCAAGAGATGGATAGAGAACAAGCTAAACAAAAAGTGATTTTTCGTACAATCAGGGGCCATAATTCAGGAAGTTACAATACGATATGCGCAAATATTGAAAGGAACAAGATTTTTGAGTTATAAACTTACATTTCAAGTTTCATCAAAATCAGAAGAAAATTGTCACCTCTAGAGAGTCCACAACCTTGATATATCATATTTTTACGCTATTTGAATACGAGGGGCAGCCATTTTGTCTGTCAGTTTGGGCCGATTTTCACGAAATTCGAACTCAACCGTCCTTAGAGTGTAACGGTGATATACTAAAATGTTTTTTTAAATCGGATAAAAATTATGACCGATTTTTCGTACAATCAGGGGCTATCATTCGGGAAGTTACGATCCGATATGCGCGAATATCGAAAGGAACCAAGATCTTTGGGTTGTAACCATGCACGTTAAGTTTTATCAAAATCGGTTCAAAATTGTGACCTCTATAGGGTCCAGAAGTCAAAAAAGTGATTTTTCGTACAATCATGGACCATAATCCATGAAGTTTCGATCCGATACATGCCAATATCGAAAGCAGCCAAGATCTTTTGGGGATAACCCTATATTTCAAGTTTTGTCAAAATCGGATAACAATTGTGACCTGTCCACAAACAATTGTGGACGGACGGACGTCCAGACGGACAGGGGCGATGACAATATACTTCCGCATGAAAAAGTGGGCGTATAAAAATCTTAGGGGATAATATTTTATAGTAATATAGATGCCACTTTGTATAATTGGATTTTATATCATTGGAAAGAACACCACAGTCTGTACATTTTTGTAACATTTTGTAACAGAGTGTATTTCTTTGTATAGAAAATATTTGTTTAGTTATTTGCAATTTTTGTAGAGGGTATTAGGCTTAGCGAGATGGGCCCTGCTGATTTAATGAGTCTAGGGGTACATGTAGGTAGCTAATCTTTTAATTAGCTCTAGGGTTAAATGGGTTAAAGACTCATTTTTGTGAAAATCTCAATTTCGATCAAAATCAATATTTAAACTTATTTTGTCTTTATCTCATTATAAGATCGATGATATTCCGACTCATTTTGCCATATTATAGCCGGTCACATATGCATATTATAATAACCTGATCGTGATATATATCACCAGATGTCAAAGATTTTTAACAACTCATTTATCTGTATTAAAATTTTGCAATTTTTCTATGTTTTATCTATAACATGGTGTATCCACATTGACATCAGATTTTTATAACATACCATATGTTCTGATAGATATTTTGTCAACCATGTCACTCAAATCTCCAGCTGTTACTTTCGCCATCATACAAATTAACATGAAATAAATAACAGGGACCGTACAGATTTTTATCAAAAATTTATATCTTTATGAAAGCTTCGAGTGGAATTTTATGATGTTTTTATCAAATTTTATATTTTTATAATGTTTTTATCACATTTCATGACTTTATGATCATTATCAAATATTATCATTTTTTTTATATAACTGCACTGACAGTCAGTAGTGGATCTAGAAGCTGTGAATAGGGGGGCCAGTTCCAAATCTAGGGCACCATCCACAATCCCATCCCACAATGAATGTCAACAAAATACTGGCTATAACACTTTCTGAGCAACCCAGTAGAACATAGATCGTATTGCCTATATAGTTGTTCGCCAAAAAGCAGTTTTATTTGAGTTGACATAAAGTTCATGTCATATTATGATTGTTATTGATTTTTGTCAACCTTAAAAGAGAAGTGACTATAACACTAAACAACCTGAAGTGGGGGGTGGGGGAGGGGTCTGGGAGATGGTCCTCCCTCTGAGAAAATTAGGAAGATTTGAGTCAATATCCTGACTTTTAAGGTCATTGCTGGGAGCAAATTCTTGTGAATGAGAGGATCAGAAATGGGAGTTAATGGGACAGAATCTTGAGATCTGCCTGTCAATTCCGCCTGTTTTGTGAGAGTTACCTGGGCTGTTCACTGCAAATATGATACTGTCGAGATAGTATAGTAACAAGCCAACAGTGAGGCTGATGTCCCCCGCCGAAATAGGAAAATAATTAGAGGACACATATAAAAATCAAATTGCGTATCTCTCTGCTTACCCTGAGCAGAAAATGCTCATTATCAAACTTAGTCAAGGTATTACTGTAATGAAACTATACACCAAGTTTCATCAATCTCACTTAATTAGAACTAAAGTTATCGTGTCCCAAAGCATCAACCAATCAAATTGCTTATCTCTGCTTACCCTAAGCGGAAAATGCTCATCTTCGAACTCCATCAAGGCATTGACCTAATCAACACATACACCAAGTTTGAACATTCTAGCTCAATTAGGAAGAGAGTTATCGTGCCCCAAAGTATCAACCAATCAAATTGCTTATCTCTGCTTACCCTAAGCGGAAAATGCTCATCTTCGAACTCCATCAAGGCATTGACCTAATAAACACATACACCAAGTTTGAACATTCTAGCTCAATTAAAAGTTATCGTGTCCCAAAGCATCAACCAATCAAATTGCTTATCTCTGCTTACCCTAAGCGGAAAATGCTCATCTTCGAACTCCATCAAGGCATTGACCTAATAAACACATACACCAAGTTTGAACATTCTAGCTCAATTAAAAGTTATCGTGTCCCAAAGCATCAACCAATCAAATTGCTTATCTCTGCTTACCCTAAGCGGAAAATGCTCATCTTCGAACTCCATCAAGGCATTGACCTAATAAACACATACACCAAGTTTGAACATTCTAGCTCAATTAAAAGTTATCGTGTCCCAAAGCATCAACCAATCAAATTGCTTATCTCTGCTTACCCTAAGCGGAAAATGCTCATCTTCGAACTCCATCAAGGCATTGACCTAATCAACACATACACCAAGTTTGAACATTCTAGCCCAATTAGGAAGAGAGTTATCGTGTCCCAAAGCATCAACCAATCAAATTGCTTATCTCTGCTTACCCTAAGCGGAAAATGCTCATCTTCGAACTCCATCAAGGCATTGACCTAATAAACACATACACCAAGTTTGAACATTCTAGCTCAATTAGGAAGAGAGTTATTGTGTCCCAAAAAGTGTGACGGACAGACAGACGGACGGACGGACGGACGGACGGACAGACGGACAGACAGAAGGACGAACCCATTTTAATAGTCCCCTGCTTTCTTCGAAAGGCCAGGGACAAAAAATCACAGAGGAGTGGAAGAATAATGGGGCTTTTAATTTTTTGGGACTGGGCCTAAATTTCCTGGCATTCGAGTTCATTGATGGGAGCAAATTCTTGTGAATGAGAGGGTAAGATATGGGACATAATCTCGGGGCCTACTTGTTAATTCTGCCTATTTTGTGACAGTTAACAGAACATTTGCACAATCTGTCACCCCAGACTACTAACAGGACAATTCACGATGATAGTGATGAGGGAGTATATGATCACAGATCAGGAGTGGAAGAATGATGATATAATGGAATCCAGCACCATAGACACAGAAAAATTTCTGATAACTTGTAAATTGGGACTGAGTCTGAGGAGACTTTGTCTCACAGGGCCCCTTACTTGTTGTCCGCTCTTGCTGACAGTAAGTAACATTGACTGACCACTGTCAAATAGAAAATGACAGAGAGCAGCAAGCTGAAAAATGTCTGGATGATTTTCTTATTCACATCCGGATTTATTAGTATAGAAATTTATTATTTGGAGTAGCGATTTATGGTTAACTTTATATTTTGAACAAATTTTCATCTCATTTTATGATGATTTTATGAGAAATAGTGAAATTTTATGTTTTTTATGACATTTTTCCATTTTATGATAATTTTGTGACAAATGACAAAATTTTATAAAAATATAATTGTTTTTTTATTGTACGGTCCCTGATATAATGTTTCAACAGTCTCATCTATACTAATTAGTTCATTTCTAACAATATACATAATTTTTAAGTTTAGTAGCCTTCCAAGTTTTGATGAATGACAAAATGGTATATAGTTCGACATGATTTCTTTAGATTGAAAGATAGATGTATTATATCACACATATATAACTACTTACCCTCCAGCCTCTAATATAGCACTGTATTAGTAGACAACATTTTTTCTTATGCAAGAAACATTTCTTTGCCTTAAAAAAAAAATAGACCCGAAATAAAATAACTGCAGATGAGCCGATTACTAGTGACCGTATAACATCTGTATCAGCCAATAATTGTCGTATCCGAATATCGGTAATTGCTGATAATTGGCAATATTTATCAATGTTTTGACCAATATCAAGCATCCATCGCTGTCACCTAATTAGGCTTTTACCATTGCGCCACTGTCCGGGAAAAATATCCCTGATAACACACACTGTATGGCGCACACCCGATTCATAGCAGAACAGTAGGATGTTAAACCCAATTTCATTCATTCATTCTTACCCACTGAGAAACTTAAACCACAGATCACTAAAGATTTCCCTATTGACATTAATGTTAATTCTCGTATCTTAGACCAGCTCTAACTTTTTTCCAAATTTTCGTTGGGTAGAACGCTTTCTACTACAGATGGAACAACATGTGGCAACCTCTTGCCCAAAAGCATGTATGAGGTTCTTCATGAAAAACTTGAGATACACAAGCTGGAAGTAGAGACTAGTAAACATGCAATTTTAGGCCCTACATTTCAATCTAACCAACCTCTCAACTCTTGTATCCTTCCGCATCAAAATTATGAATATTCACCAAAACCTGGCAGAAAATGTATTTTCAAACCCTCTTCTTCGATTCTGCACCAAAAAGTCAACAAAAATCGCCATGCAAAAGGAGGGAAAAAAGGCGTAGGAATATTTGGTGATCGACACAGATCAGCAAGGACCAAAGTTAATTTTAGTCTTTCTCTTCCTTTCCATTTTCCCCCTTTTACATGGCGATCTTTGGTGACTTTGTAACATAGAATGGAAGAAAGGCAGTGTGAAGTTAGCTTGATTTTCGTTTTTCGATATTGGCGGATAACGAAAAACAAGCTACTTGTTTTTCGATATTGGTGAATAACGAAAAACGAGCTATCGTTTTTCGATATTGGCGAATGTTGAAAAACGAGCCACTCAAAAAAGCAGATTTGATGGATGTATATCTACAGAATTTCTCCAAAACACATTTGATTAAATACATTTTCTAAAACGAACTAAAGATATCATAAATGAGGATGCCTGAGCAGTGGATTCACATAAAACTGATATTTCTCCTTGTTTTTTTGATATTGGCTTATGTCGAAAAACGAGTTGTTGCTGCGGCAGAAGGTTCCATACTACACGTATAACAACAACATTGTCCGAACGAACAATGCCATTATGCAGTTTTGTCGGGATGAGCCCACATTGAGTTTTTGGCGACACCGAGCTGGGCTTTGGCAACCGATTGCATATCCGTATGCCAAGGATGGTATTCATTTATCTCGTGAAGTGGGCAACCCCTTGTTTTTATCCAGTATACGGGATGCTATTTTACGCCATATCCGTTGGTACTGTATGGTAGGTCAAATATTTATCTAAAAAATTTCACGGTGGCCAATGTCCGACAAACAGTTGCTTACAGTTACTGATAAGGGCCCTTGGTGTTATCTTGTAAAAAGAAGAGTTGCATGCAGTGAAGATCAAGTGGCCGGGATGCTATCTTGATATGCAAAAGTTGCATGCAGTGATTAAGAAGTGGCCTTGGTGTTTCTTTGATATACAAAAGTTGCATGCAGCGATTAAGAAGTGGCCTTGGTGATTAAAATGTAGTTTTAGTGCTATTTGAGTGTACAAAAGGTGCATGCAATGATTAAAAAGTGGCTGTGGGCTATCTTTATATAAAAAATGTGCATGCAGTTATTGGAAAGTGGCATTAGTGCTAATTTTTACCCAACTGCCAATCTGTGTTTCCTCTTCAGTAGTAATTTATATTGGTGTTCCATACTTTAATTTTAGGATAATGCCGAAACGACAAGTAATACAGAATGAGTCCAGTGACAGTGATGAGGCCCCTGTTATGTCGTCGGCGGAAGATCGTTTGACGGACATACTGATCCGTAAGATGATGGACAGGGGTCTGGTTTTTAGCCAAAATGAGCCGCTTAAACCTAAAAGGCCAAAAAACGCAACTCCATCTGTAGCAGTCTCAATAGAAACAACATCAATGCAATCTCCACCAGTCGCAAATGAAATTGCAGCCTCATCACCAGCCTCGTCTCCAGTTATCCCAGTAACTGCTACAGCTACTTTGAATATGCCGCCTATATGTAGTACGTCGACAGCATCAACTGCAGCAAACCCATCTGTGTTGAATCTGAATGCAGCACAACTGCTGCAACATCCAGGTATGGGTCATACTACCAAACCAGTAAACACTTCTTTTATGAATAGGAGCGTGCAGCCAGTAGACATGTTCGTATCCAGACATGTTTCAGACAAAATCAAACAAGATATCTGGTCTGACAAATTTGTTGAATTTTCATTATTATTACCTAGTGGGAATGGGCCAACTCAGTTAGCGATCAATACTTCTAAATCAGGGGAGGACCCAATTTTTAAACTTTCATCTGCCCCTAAACCCACTAAAGAATTAAGTTTTGATCAATGGCGGCGTGCATTTACGATTTTCATGGATGTTTTGATCCAACGCACGCCTAATTTGGCTTAAGCTCGTTACTAACTGAGTTGGCTCAGACTTATGGCTCTCGAGCCTTTAATTTTTACGACTCCCAATTTCGGTTGTTACGCCAATCCCAATTGCTACCATGGGACCATATTCATGCTGAGCTTTGGCTCATACCCTCCTGCATCTACATCCAAACGGGTTTGCTGGGCTTTTAACTCCCAGCAGGGTTGTTATCGCCCAAATTGTAACTTTTTACATATTTGTTCTAAGTGTGGTTTCAACCATTCAGTTGTCCAGTGTTTTGCTAAAAATCGCAGGAATCAACCTTACAATATTCAAAATTCGCCAATCCATCCCGGTTTGCCATCATCCAAGATGTTAACGAATAATCCTGCCATTTCGACCTCAAAAATGTCTATACCACAACCTGTCCCAAGTAGCCCACCCCAGTCAATTTCAATTCCTCCACCCCCGGCGGGTGTTAGGTCACAGTCCCGGTATTCATTTCGGACCACTAGTGGAGGCAACAAACGTAATTTCAGCACCAGTAATCTCAAGTAGGTTGTGGGAGATATTGGAGGGTTATAATATGGATGAACGCAAATTTTTAGTCGCTGGATTTACTGAAGGTTTTCATATTCCATTTACAGGTCAAAGAGTATTTTCTGTAGCTCGTAACCATACCTCTTGTTTCAGTCATATGGAGATGTTAATGAAAAAGATCAATAATGAGTTGGCACATGGTCGTGTTATGGGTACGTTTGCACTCCCTCCCTTCCAAAATTTGCGTTGTTCACCTTTGGGTGTGATACCCAAGCATGAGCTGGGTGCGTTTCGCTTGATTCATGATTTATCTTTTCCACCCAATAACTCTATTAACTCAGGCATATCAGAACAGTTCACTAAAGTACAGTATGAGTCCATAGATCAGGTCATTCAGATTGTAAAATCCAAAGGTAGAGGCGCGTTAATGGCTAAGGCTGATATTGAGGATGCATATCGCTTATTGCCAATCCATCCAAATGATTATGAGTTGTTGGGATTTACGGTTCAATTAGGTGAAGAGTTGTTATATTTTGCAGATAAGTTTTTGCCAATGGGTCTTAGTATGAGTTGCCAAACCTTTGAAAGATTCAGTTCATCCTTGCATTGGGTCATGGAGGCCAAATATGGAGCCTCCATGAGTCACATGATTGATGACTTTTTCTTTGTTGGGTTTCCCAAACTCGGCGGACTGTTTACATTCGCTTCAAAATTTTCTTGATTTGTCCAAATCTTTAGGTATTCCTATTAAGGAATCACAAACGGTTTATCTTGTAACAACGATTACTATTTATGAGATCGAAATAGATTCGGTTGCGATGATTAGCCTCCTTCCCACTGAAAAAGTTATAAAAATTTGTTATTAATTTTTACGGATAATGAATGCGTTGTATATGTCATTAATAAATCCACCTCCAAATGCCCGGCAATTATGACTCTAATCCATCGCTTAGTGTGAGCATCAATTAAATTTAATGTTTTGGTACACGCAAAACATATACCAGGCAAATCTAATCTTGTTGCTGATTGCTTAATTCGATTCCTCTTTCAGGAAGCAAGAGAGTGGGCGCCATGGTTGGATCCTACTCCTCAGATGTTACAACCAGAACTTTTGACGATCTGAGTTCATCAGCTTATATGTTAATTGGGCAAGCGTTATCATTAAGTTCCCGGTCATCATATTTAAGAGATTGGGTCAGATTTACCGATTTTTGTACTTCGTTTTCGTTAAATCCACAGTTTCCTATTCCGAATGTTGTCATTATTACCTTTTTGGCTTTTCTCTTCGAGTCAGGTTTTGCCCCGAGCACCATCACTTCTCATGTGTCGGTTATTGCATTTGTTCAAAAATCCTTGGGTTATCCGGATACAATTAATTCGTTTATGGTAAAAAAATTTGTTAAAAGGGGTAAATAAGTTACATGTTCCATCAGAGTCTAGATTACCAATTACGCATAGGATTTTAATTCAGTTATTGTGAGCAGTCCCGTTAGTGTTTAGGTTATTATCGCATCAAATTCTGTTGAAATCCGTCTTTGCTTTGGCCTTGGCAGGCTTTTTTTGTCTTGGCGAATTGGTACTAAAAACAGGTTTTGATAAGAACAAAATAGTACAAACCCAACATGTTCAATTTTCGTTTTCTGATATCTTGTTGGAAGCGGTGGAAATATCATTCCCCCCAAGTTATGGGCCCCTTGTTTCAGTGGCCTGATGGTTCAACTGTATCGTATAATTTTTATACGCCCACATTTTCATGTGGACGTATTATGCCGTCGCCCCTGTCCGTCCACAATTGTTTGTGGACTCTCTACAGGTCACAATTCTTATCCGATTTTGACAAAACTTGAAATATAGGTTTATCCCCAAAAGATCTCGGCTGCTTTCGATATTGGCATGTATCGGATCGAAAATTCATGGATTATGGCCCCTGATTGTACGAAACCTATAGAGGAACCTATAG